GGGTGGGTGGTGTGTGTGTGTGTGTGTGTGTGTGTGTGTGTGTGTGTGTGTGTGTGTGTGTGTGTGTGTGTGTGTGTGTGTGTGTGTGTGTGATATATACATGCAGTCCTGGCACAGAAGATAAAAACGTTACGGGTTTCCAAGACTCGACAATACTTTGGCTTCAAAATGTTATCTTCAGTCACAGGATCAGCCTTGTCCAATCCCATTGGCCCTGCAAATCAAACACCACTGACCTCTCCAGGATTTTTCTCTCCTGCATTCCTAGGGTCAGGCGTGTGCGCGGCCGTGGAGCTGATGGGGGCCCAAAGCAGAGTTTGCCTCCAACAGAATAAATGCAAACACCAAATGTGCAGCTCACCACCCTGTTCCAGCCACTCTGTGGGGACTCGTCCTACAGGCCAAACCCAGCCAAAACTCATACAGGCCGCAGAGCGTTTTGCCTCGGCATGGCCTCCAGGATTGGTCCCTTACGATTCAAACAACCTCGTCCATAGCCTTTATGGAGGAACTACAAAGGCAAAGCCTAGTAGGCAGTTATCTCCTAATGCCTCACCCTAGGACCATTCCCTTGTTCCCACGATGGAAGGGACTGGGACTAGCATCCTGCCTGTTTCTCTCGTCACGCCTAGGCCCGGAAATTGCCACTCACACCTTCCTCCCTTAACCCGAGGGATCCCAGTGCTTCACAGCCCCCCAGCCACACGCCAGGCCTGTGGGGTACGGAACAGCGTGGGACAGCGCACGGCCTGGTCTACGCACAGCCGTGCGCTCCGGCTGGCGGGAGAGCAGGTGGCTGTGTTCACAGTGAGGCACGTGTGTCCCTGTGTTAACGGATTGAGCAGTCGCCATAGACTATCAGCCTGACTGACTGATTCCTGCCTCCTGCAGCTTGCCCCTCTTGGCTGCCACAGAACCTTTCACTGCCTGGCAGTGTCCAAATGCAGCCGGTCCTGTCCTTAAAGAGCAACAGTGCCACTTTGCCAGGCTGAGGCTGGGCCAGCTGGTGCCCACTGCCTCCCATGCGCCAGCAGACATCGGAACTCACTCGGAACGGCTGCAGCTTGCAATCACGAGCAGCCCAAGTCCATGGCACGGCACGCAAGGTGCAGAATGGGAGACAGACAGCAGATCCCAGAGCAGCGGTTCCCCAACCCTACGGTCTCCACCCTGGGAGCCAACACTCTCAGCACATGTGTCTGAACTGCTGGTGACTGTCTCTCTCTCCGATGACAGACACAAAAGCCGCTTCTCGTCATCCCTCCTCTAAACACGCCGGACTAGGGGGACAGTGTGTTGCAGAAGAAACTAAGATACTGGGGTCGATCCCCTAGCGGCCCCTTTCTCCTGACTCTGTAGGAGCTGAGTGGAACTGGCAGGGATCACGTAAGGGGATGCTTCCCCAGGCAGGAACCCTTGTCCAGCACTGCCTGCAGCTAACAGGAGGCTCTGCACAGCCTCCCTGAGTGGCCAGCAAGAGCGCCCTGGCCCAGCCAGTCCTCCACCACTTCCTGCAAGACCCTGTGTGGGGCTAGGATCCTGGTGCGGGTACAGGGGTCAAAGCAGGGCCAGCGTGGGACCCACACTGGGAAGTCTAGTTGCCCTCGAGCGAGGGAGATCCTTGCCATCAGCCAGCAAGATGAGGGACAGGGGCTGGGGACCAGCAGTGCTGAGGTTGGGGCGTGGGCTCTGTGCTAAGGGTCGGCCCAGATGGGCCGCGCACAGATCTGCAGGCTTTGCCAATAGGCTGTGAACCGCAGGGAGGGCGGGTCACAGCCCGGGACTCAGTGTGGTCAGCTGATCGGCGTCACAACTGTTCTCCAGCCAGGGTGTAGCATTGTGCCCACTTCACCCACTGTCCCATCTGCAGTGAAACCAATGTGCCTAGAAAATAAACCCCTTTCACACGCGTTGTCCGCCCCACCCCTTCCTCCCACCCCCGTAACAAAGATTTGTCTTGTCTGGATTATACAAAATGCATAAAAGATGCAGATCATACGAAAGGGCTGAGAGCAGCTGCTCCAGAGTGAAAACAGAGCCAGGGACTAGAGGGGGCCAAATCCTAAGGGGTGCTGAGCGTCGGTGACACCTGCTTGCTGCAACCCCCCTCGGGATCTGGCCCACCACCCTGTGTTCGTTCTCGAGACAGCTGACGAGACTTCAGCCTAGGTAGCTAGATGCATGGTGATAAATATGGCACAGCTGTAAGGTTATAATTGCCGTCACCAGCTGGGTGATCCATAGGCTCCCGGTACATGTAGAAAAAAAAATCATACAAAATATAAGAAGCCTAATGCAGAGGTGTTACTGGAAACAAACAAAACTGGTTAAAAGAATCCCGTTTATCTGTCGTTCAGCTGCGGCGAGTTTGTCCCCTCCTCATCTTCCTCCTTGTCGTCTTTCATGCCCTTCAGTCTCTGTCGGGCGAAGTCTTCAAACACAATGTCGTCGTCACTGGCAGAAGACACAAGGAGAAGGTTACAGTGGAACGGGTGGGAGGCAACGGCATCCCCTGGTGCCCGTGCTAGGACATTGCTTCACCACTAGGGGCAGGTGGGCTGGCTCTGGCCTCACCTGATCATGCAGGTTGGGAAGGCTCGTTTGGTCTCTGCTGTTATTGGGTTCGCTGTGGGGAAAAAGGGACCAAGGGAGCGGCAAGCAGAAGCAGCCACTGAGAAATGAGTGCCAGAGGGAGCAGAGAGGGGGAGACGCAGTATATATAGGGTATCCTGTATGGGGATCCTATCCTCACAACAGCAGAAACTCCCCTTGAGCTAAAGAAACATCTAGTCACAGTGATGTTTTGTAAGGGGTGGGGAGTGGGGATCAGATGTCAGTTACAGGGGCAAAGGGTTTGAAAGGCGCCTTCTGCCATGATCAGAACCTCAGAGGCCGTCGCTGCTCAGTACAGGCTCTGCGAGGGCCGGGCCTGCCAGGCACCAAGTGAGACATCACAGCTGGAAACAACCTCACGCCATCGTATCGTGCAAGGGACCAGGACCTGAGAGCGGGGTTGACATCAAAGCCACAAACAGAGGTCTAGTCATCTCTTGGTTCTCCCAGCGAGCCCGGAGTGATTTTTAGTGGGGGTATTACTCTAGGCACAGCAGGAGGAGATATTGGCCCCAGCCAACTAACCATGGTCTGAACCCGCAGTGTCTGAGTTTCAAATAACTCCCAAAGTTTGGAGTTGTTTGGGCCCAGGGTTTTGATCTCTGCTCCCAGATCACCCTCTAAACCTGTTTAATCCTCTGGGCTTTTTTCACCCTCATAACCAAGGGCTGAAGAGGAATGAAGGGTCTTTTACATGCCTGGCATGTAGAGAGGTCCTAGGGGCGAAGGAATACGGGTGATGCAAGATGGCGCTTGCTATAAAAATAATCAGGGCTGAGTTGCTAGGCAGAGCGTTAGCTTTCCTCTTGTTAGGCAGATTAAGCCTGTTTAAAGGGGGTTGTTTTTGTGTTAACACACACAAATCGATCGAGCTGGCGGCATCCGCTCTCTGCAGCCGCTGCGAGAGGATGTGTCCGAGACAGGCGGACGCAAACCACTGACTGACGCACATGGGTACAGAATCTAAACGGGGATTTGTGCATCACACCCTAGCTCAGAAGGGGCACTGGACACCCAAGACCACGGGACACCTGGATGATGCGATGGGTCCTCCTTCCAGCTCTACTGTATTGCTTAGTCTTAGGGAAGCATTAGCATAGTAGAGGTTTATAGTGACATTGAGCACAGCGTACAAGATGTACTTCCTTTGGTTAAAAAGCCCATCAGCCTTTGGGGAATAAAGGTACTTCCAGTGAATTGTGGACTCAAAGCCTTACTGCTGGAACCGGATCCCAAAATTCCAGCGGGGTCGGGGGGTCCATGTACCGGAACAGGGGTGGATAGAAGCAAATCCCTACAGAGTGACGCAGACTCGGTCTCATCAATACAGCTGCTTTGGCTTCCAAGCTACCAATTTGCTAGATAGGGTGGAAGGGACGTGGAACATGCAATAAGGCACAGGGAAGGCAGAAAGAACGAGGAAGCGTTTCCAGCAGACAGGTACCAGACACATTCTGATGAACAGAGCCCTGAATTTCCATTCCGCATGGAGAATTTACCAGCTCACGACACAGCTGGGAACCGGCTTTGATCTAATCCCCAAATTAAACACATTTTCACTCTGAGGCGGGCAGCACAGTGGAATTCTGTTAAAAGGAGTGATGGGGGCAGCGAGCTCCCTGGATCACATTGTACGGAGAAGCCAGATTTCCACAGTGCCATGACTGGGTTTCTAACAGGCATCTTCGTACCAAGGCAGGTCAGCCAGATTATTACACACTCTATAATTCTCTCTAACATTCAGTACTGGAGATTTTGGGGGTGCCTCAGAAAGGCGCGAGAGCCTTTCTCGACTTGGACAACATCACAGAAAACCATTTCCACTCTGACCCTGTCAGCCCAAATCCCCACTCATATTTATAGGCAAGGGGTAAACGCGTTAGGATCCAGGGACTATGGAGTTTGGAAATCTGGCTGGCACTCAGGGTGGCCACCCACAGGCACCCATGGGTGGGATTTTCCAAAGCCTCTAAGTTTTAGGAGCTTTTCAAATCCCAGCAACCATATTTCAGCACCTCAATTAGAAGCCTGGTTTTCAGAGGTGCGCTATGATGCCGTGCAGCCCAAAATCTCAATCAACCACTGATCTGGGCCCCCCCCCCAATTTCTAGGCCCAACTTGAAAACCCGAAGGCCTGGTTTTCAGCAGCACCAAGTGCCCATGGCTCCCACTGAAGGCAACAAGAGCTGCATGTGCCTCTCTGAGGAGCCAGGGGCTTGGTGGTGCCACGTCACGTTACATCAAAATTTGAGGCACCCAAAATCAGTGGCCACTTCTGAAAATTTGTCCGTTAGCGCCTGACTGGTGCCTGGGGGGCCTGCGACAGCAGGGGCTGGACTCCGTGAAGTCCATGAGAGCGGCTGTAGATGCTCAGCCCCTCTGAAAAATCAGGCCACCCTTAACATTAGGTGACTATGGATTTGGCTTTAGGCACCCAAGGGTGGCCTATGATTTGATCCATAGAACTTAACGTCTCCCACCAGCGACACTCACTAAAAGCAGATTCCACTGTGTGAAGTCCGGCTGTGACAACACTATGACATGGATGCAACAGAGCAAAATACAACTCAGAGACAGAGAAGGTGGTTTCTTACTGTGCTTTTCCTGTTGCAAAACACATGCAAGATGGTTATCATGCCAAAAAGAAAGAAAAGAAACCCCATGCATTAAAGGTTACGTGCACATGAGTTAATCATTGACTGTTACATGGAAATGATATTGACCGAATTACGTCTAGATGAGTTAGCTGGTTACTGAGTTACATGCAAATGAGTTGATCACTGATTGAGTTCATATGCAAATGTTTCAACATTCCCATATAGGCCCTGGGATGATTTTAGCTTACTTTGTATCAAGCTCTATGAGATTTGTATCTATGGGAGCTTCATTCTCTGGAACTAAACACAGGGAATTATTGCACATGGTTAGTTACTTGACAAAATAATAAATAACCGTTACACAGCTTCTTTCATCCCACAGCACCACAAGCTCTGGGCACAATCCTGCCATCCTTGCTTGCACAAAACTCCTTTTGGAAATCAATGGGAATGGGATTTGGCCTCAAATGCACCAGACCAGGACTGAAATGCAGCCATCTCTGGGGTGGAGAGTGGCAATCAACCCATACATGGCCTGAGATAATACTTAGTCCTGCCATGAGTGCAGGGGACTGGACTAGCTGACTTCTCGAGGTCCCTTCCAGGCCTATGGATTCTGTGGCAGCACTGGGGAGAGGATACTTTAGCCATAACGCTGGAATCAACGCCCCGACTCATGTAACGAGAACCGCGGATCTTTACCACCCACATGGAGCAGCCAGCTAGTTCTTCTATGGCAAGCCACATGGAGGTCAATGTATCTGCCTCACGAGGATGAAGGGCCTGGACCACCTCTACTGCACCATTTACACAGGCAAAGGGGCATTTGCAACTGTGTCACCGCACATGCAACGTGGTCTCTAGGCGAGTCCAGGATCTGCAGGACCAGCAGGGGCCCACACACTATGGGACTTTCAGCTGCTACTAATCTGACACCTCCCCACCCCCCGAGTATTCTGCTTGTGAGTGTTTACGCAGACTCCTTTTCGAACACAGGAGGCGTCTGAAACCTCAATTCCGGCACAGGCCAGTTCTGTCGCTAACAAACCCACCCAACCAGCGACACCCCCGCCCACCAGGCTTGGTTCAGACCAGCAGAGCAAGTCCCGAAGCCAAGAGGGGACTAGAAAAGGGGTAAACTCACCATCCCGGTGCAAGGGCTCTTCCTTGGGCTTGGGGTGCATCAGTGTGAACGGCAGCTCCACAGCAACATCACTGAAACAGACCCGGAGACCCGGATGAGAAGCGATGGATTAGGGCGACCAGGCCTGCGGGGGCTTTGATAGCTGGCTCCAGAATGACACTGCAGCTATTTTAATTAAATACTCTCCTGCCCTGGGAAGAGCCCGATTCCTGCCCCCAACTGACCTTCTGCCACTGACGCCCACAGAGCAGGCTCCGGATAGACTCTGAGCAGTGCAGTGTGTCTACATGACACTGCTGCCTAGAGATGGCTTTGAAAGCAGCTCCCTAGTGCCACCTGCTGGCGGATTTGAGTATTTTGGTGGCCCTAACAGATTGAAGTGTTTTTCCAATTGCAAAAGAAGCATGTCGTCTGGAGTGGAGGCCAGCGTCTGCTCTCTGTGACATCAGTGTAAATCCTGCGCACTTTGAACCTGGATTTATAGTCGCCATCTCGATTCTCCTCTCACACCCGTGTTTCACTAGGAGGGTGGTGAAGCACTGGAATGGGTTACCTAGGGAGGTGGTGGAATCTCCTTCCTTAGAGGTTTTTAAGGCCCGGCTTGACAAAGCCCTGGCTGGGATGATTTAGTTGGGATTGGTCCTGCTTTGAGCAGGGGGTTGGACTAGATACCTCCTGAGGTCCCTTCCAGCCCTGATAGTCTATGATTCTAAGGCAGGTGGGACTCCATTGAAGTCAGTGGAGCACCTATCACTGTAGTAGCTACGCTCTGGGCGACACTAAGCCACGTGCTGACACGTGGACACTGAAGTCAGTGGCGTCTCAAAGAGTAAAGTTGGATCTAATGAGACCAGCATTATACCCCTGCAATGAAAGTGTCTCCTCGCTACCCTTCCTCTAGCAGGCTCCGTTGCCTTGTCTGTTATAACAGCCTGAGAGCCCTAACGCCTGGACTCGAATTGCCAGTCATCTCCCTAGAAGCATGTGGGGAGAGACTTGGAAAGCTGAGCTCTGCAGTTCTACTTAAGGAACTTCTGCATTTGGCTAGAGTCAGAGAAGCTCCCTGCAGCCAGTTTACTCTGAGATTAGCTGCCGGGCTGCTGCCCCTCTAGACCCTGTGAAAACAAGGATGGCTCAGTCAGCCTGGTTTTCAGTGCTGGTGCAAGGAGCTGGCCTTGCCGACTGACATATGGCTTAGCCACAGCATAAATATGGGATCAGCAGAGCCTGGGCGGGTTTCCCCCACACTGCCCACCTCTACGAGTGAGAGGGGAGATCAGGCTCAAGGACCCATTCAATCCGTGGCCTCTCCACCAAAGGCTGCCAACAATGAGCCAAATGTGAGAACAGCTTTGTGGCTACCTGTCTCTGATGGAGTGGACTGAGGCCACCTGCTGCCTACCCCTGGCCAACACACAGCTGTCAGGTGGTAGCAGCTCTTGACCACTGCTAAATCTGAATTGGCAGCCACAAGACGCCAGGTGCTCTCTCTGTTACCAACCCGAGCAGCCATCCATTCCCCATCATGAAATAACAGGAGAGAAGCCGGTTTCAATGGTGGAGAGGGAGATTGTCTGAGAAGGGGACATAATTCAAACCCTCCATCTCAGAAACACGTCCAGCGCGTAGTTACACGCATGCGTTGCAGCTGGTCTACCTAGAGTGCCTCTCGCTGCAGCATTGAGCCGCTGAGTCACACTAAGCCATACCCTGAGGCATGAGCACAGTGATCACGGGCTACTGAGCGAGGTGGAAAAATCATATATACACTGACAGGCAGCGATCAGTCGCGGCCCACGTCAGCCCAGGCAGTCGGTCTGCGCTCAGCCTGGGAACACGTTTTTGGCAGCTTACCCAGCAGGAGGGAAACGCCGGCTTTAGTTGTGATTCCTGTCTCTCATTTAAAGGACGCTGGGTCCAGGCATGCTGTAGATGGCACAAAGCTCCCCTCACTGCCCTACGTAGTGTGTGTGAGGCAGAGTTTAATAAGTGATAAAGCCATCACGCTGCGTGACATACACATTTCTGGATGGAAAGACTCGATTCATGCCCTTGCACGGTCCCCATAATTAGCACCAGTTATTCTCTGCCTCAGTAAAGCCGATTCCTCCCAGCACAGGTACACAAGTCAGGGCATGCGGAACGTGCAATGGACCAGACCAGGCGGCGATTGACAGGGCGGCCAGGAAAGGAGGACAGAGAAAAGGATGCAACAGGAAGGCTGCACAAAACTTCTAGTTCTGCACTGCACTGACAAGCTCTGCAGTTTAGCCTTTGGATGTCTGGGACATTTGCAAAACGGACTCTAATTCGTTGCAAATTAAACAACCAGCTGGAAAACATCTTCCTCCAGCCTTAGGTAGAGAGACGACTTGGAAGACATGGCTTGGGATGAAAGGGAATTCCAGCCCCGCCGGCTGACCAGCATTTGTTTATTCTCACTGAAATATCGGTTTCCATTCTTGGTGGCTCAGCACCACTGAGCTGGCAGAAGATCAGTTCCACTTGGCTCCCTCCCTCTTCTCCTTTCACCTCCCTTCCCTGGGCTCCAAACAGCTTTGTGGTTCGTCACTTGCTGAGACCGACTCTGTGGAAAGACTTTCATGCCAAATCTTTCTTGGGGGCCTATTGGTAGAGAACAATTTATTGGATAAATCCCGCCCTGCTCACAGAGTCTCCACTGCCGCGATAGCACTTTTGTGAAGATGCTACTACCCCCATGGGAGAGTTTCTCCCATCAGCCAGTCAGTCCATCTCCACAAGAGGCTGTGGGTATGTTGACAGAAGAAGCTCTCCCTTCTACACGAGGGGGCAGGTCGCTGGAACTGCGTTGCTCAGGGCTGTGGGTTTTTCACACCCCTGAGCGACGTCGTTTTACCGATGTACGTTTGTAGTGCAGACCTGGCCAGAGACGTACTGTTTTTAAATGAGAGAAACAAGGCAGGTGAGGTAATATTTTTTACTGGACCAACGCCTGTCGGTGAAAGAGACAAGCTTTTTACACAAAGCTCTGAGGTGCTCGGAAGCTGGTCTCTTTCACCAACAGAAGTTTGTCCAATAAAAGTAATTACTCACCCACCCTGTGTCTCTCATCTCCTGGGACTTTCAGTGGAGCTGCAGCACCACTGAAAACAACAATGGAGGAGAAATTTTAAATGACAGCAGAGATGCTGAGGAACAAGACAGCAGCTCAGAGACCTGCTGGTTTGCCACACGAGCACATAGCGAGTGTCTCCAAGCTCTTACCCTCCCTCACTCAGAGCCAACCTGCCCTGGGCCAGCAGGAGAATGCTGGAGCCACCCCGACTCGCCTCACTCTGCAACCCCTAGGCACGGCTGCTGCCGGCGCAGAGCATCGAACAGCACCTGGGTGACAAACACAATACGTCCCGACTGGTCAATTAAATTCTTACAACCATCCTACAGTTATATAGCCAATGGCCCTGAACCAACAGAGGGCAGCACCTTCCCAGTCTAGGGATTGATAAAGGCAGCAAATAAGGAATTGAATGAATGGTTTATCTGCAGAGTTTGTCATCTTCCTCCAGCTGGGAAGCCGGGAAGACATGCCGGGGTTTGGGTGGAGAAGGAATAGAAGGCAAAAGCAAAGACGAAGTGGGCGAATGAAAAGCTGGCGAGGGGTGACCAGGATGAGGAGAACCACGGAGGGGTCTGAAATATCACGAATGAAAAAGCTGGGCGGCTGGCGTCCGTGTGGCACCGCCAGAGCGGGCAGAGCTGGAAAGCGTTACCTGGATGCAAGATCTCCCAGCAGGCTGGCATAGGTCAAAGGAGACAAGAGGATTAGTCACCAGTTTAGAAAAAGAAAAAGCACAGGCAGCCCACAGATCTGAACGCAGGAACAAGGCCCGAGATCAACTCCCGGCTCCACAGCCCCTGGCTTCATCCCATCACCCTGAGCTACATGTGAATGTGGGTGTCTAGCCCAGGTCCTGCTGGGGTCCCACATTACACCACTCTCAAGCGGGCCTCTCTGACATGTGCCGCTTCCTGCCGTGTCTGTGGGAACCAGCAGAGCAGTTTATGGGGTGCTCCAGGGCCCGAGGAGGAACTGGGGAAGTGGGGGCTAGAGACAGGACATAACAACTGGCTTTCCCCACCAGGCAGCTGGCAGCATCATAGAAATGCAGGACTGGAAAGGACCTCGAGAGGTCACCTAGACCAGCCCCCTGCACCTGCCCATCAAAGGCTCCTGACCTGTGACTTGCCAGGACCCGCAAGCAGGATGTCAGCAGATAACGTCAGGGGAAGGCTGCACAACAGATAAGTGAGACCTCCCCCCCTACAAGCCGAGACACCTCACGCCCCTACCTGGGAAGGAGCCATCGCCCTGGGATCTCACCTGAGTTGGCCCCTCCCGGTCAGGTCCCTCCCCAAAGGTGGGAAGGGATGGATTTGGGACAGAGATGACGGATGTCCATCTCTGACACTAGGGCTGCGAATCTGAGCATTCAGCCTGGCACGGAGACAGAGGTTTCATTCTATGCATCCGATGAAGTGGGCTGTAGCCCACGAAAGCTTATGCTCTAATAAATTTGTTAGTCTCTAAGGTGCCACAAGTCCTCCTGCTCTTTTTACAAGTCCCAGAATGCCTCAGATTCTTCACCACAACACAGCAGGCCTGCGCTGAGCCTCTAGCCTGCCTTTAAGGAGCCTGCACCAAACCCTCTTCCACTGACATATCTGAAAAAATCATTACAGTCCTCACCCCTTCCCCCTGGCCCTCCCACTCGAAGCGACTGACAGGAGCTTTCACCCGGTGGGCGAAGTGACTGGCTAACCGATGCCTCTCTGTAGGCTGGCTAGCAGGAAGTACTAAGACTGCATGAAGCTTTTGCCATGTGCCACTCCCTGCCAGCAAAGTTTGCTGGCAACGCTAAGTCTTCTTGCCCGGTGGCAGGATGTTTTGGGGCTTTGCCAGTCTAGGCTGCAGAATGCTTAACTCAGCCGTAAACAAAGTCTCCAGCCTCCAAAACCTTCTTCCCAGCTGCAGTCAGCGTCAAGGGGGTCATTGTCCCCTGACTCAATTCAAGGCTCAGCCAAACAGCAGCAGCAGAGCGCACACACCAAACTGAGGGAAGAGGAGTAGTTGACGAGAAATTGGGACTCTTAGTTTCCATATCTGGCTCTGCCATTGATTCACTGCGTGGCCCTGGGCAAGCTGCTCAGAGGAGTGTTGGGAGAATTAACCAGTGCTTGTAAAGTGCTTTGAGATCCGCAGAGGAAAGGCACTGAGGGTTTGAGCCAAACTTCACCAAAGTCACTAGGAGCAAACACTGCCACCCATTAGCATTCACCTGCACTAGAGCTGGAGCTGCTCCAGCCAGGAGAGTGAGGTTTAGAGCAACACAAGCACAAATGAAGGGACCGTACACTCAGAGCATGTATTGGGCGGCCATGCAAAGAGTTAACCAGCACATGCTGTTGGGCCAAAGCAAGAAGCCGATAGCCCAGCCCTGTGAACATTATCCCGATTCAGGGCCAGACACAAGAAGATTCAACAAACCCTCAATGTAAAAAACACTGCAAAAGTTTCTTCTTTTGTGAGTGTTTGAAAACTCCTTGCAGCGTCTTTCTCAAACTTCGGGGGCATGGTCATGTGCGGGAGGGCGTGGTCATGTGCTGGAGGGCGTGCCCATGGGGACGTGGTCATGTGCTGGAGGGCGTGCCCATGGGGCGTGGCCATGTGCTGGAGAGTGTGGGCATGGGGGCATGGCCATGTGCTGTAGGGCGTGGTCATGGGGCGTGGCCATGTGCTGGAGGGCGTGGTCATGGGGCGTGGCCATGTGCTGGAGGGCGTGGTCATGGGAGTGTGGCCATGTGCTGGAGGGCGTGGTCATGGGGCGTGGCCATGTGCTGGAGGGCATGGTCTATGAGGGTAGAGATTTAAGTGACTGGATAAATTTGCATCGAGTCACCCTTGCCTTCGTTTGGGGCAGAGGAAAGGCTGGTTTCATTTTTCTTGGCTGTGATTGGCCGCAGAAGTAAGAAGATACTCACCCTCCCCGAGACACCACCAGCTTCACTTTCACTTTATACGAGACAATAATTCCCAGGATCTCCTTATTGGCTCCATCTCTTAGTCTAGAAGCAAGGACAGATGAGGGATTTGTAAGGAAACAACTGCCAGGAATTTCTATTAGAACCGGGTGAAAATAGTAGCTCCCCTTCCCCGCAAAGTACCCCAAACACAGACTCACAATACCGGGCCGTCTCCCAACTCCCCGAACCTCACCACATTTTTGCAAAATGGCAGTTTCCCCAGGGAATCAGGTGACATTTTGAAATTTCACATATTTAAAAGGGAAAAGTGACTAACTGGGAAGGGATGTCAAATTTGGAAAATTACACCCTTTTCACCCGCAACAAATAGGTGAAGTGAAAATCAGCCAAACAGTTTGGGGAGTGAAAATGGGCTCCTCGCTCTAAAAAGCCCAGAGGTTCTCTCAGGCTCTCCTCTGATAGCCTGATGGATGGAGAGAGACACGCACAAAGGAAAATCAATAGAAAGTGAAAGCCAGGGGGGCTAGGCACCTAAATACCTTTGTGAATCCCACCCAGAGTGACTAGCTAAGGACTTTGGCTGAAGTTTTCAAACCTGGGTGTGCAGGCTCCTCAATCCATGGTGGGAACCTAGAGTGGCATTTTGGGGGGTCTACCTTTAAGCAGCCAGGTGTGAAAGTTTTGGCCATCATCTTTTTAGAATCCCAGAAATTAGCAATAGAAAGCGCTACCATTAGGTCTCTCATGCCATCCCTTGAAAGGCAGGCAGTACAGTACTGCCCCCTATAGGGTATCCTTCAAGGCCCTAGACAGGGCACTTTTAAATGTTTCCCTTCTACGACATCTGATCCTGATACCAACACTGAGGTTCCAACCCCGATGCAGCAAAGCACTTGAGCACATGTTTAAGCCCACGGGTAGCCCCACTGAGGCCAACTGGTATTGACATCAACAAGGCTACTCATGTACTTAGAGTTAAGGCCAAGTGCTCTGCAGGACTCGGGCCTTGGCTGGTGTTTGTAGCACAGGGATTCTTCATGACAGTCATTCTTTAGGTGACCCATCCGCATTGCTGGGAGAAACAAACCACTCAGACATGCAGGGCAGGGAGGAAGGAGCTCTCACAACGTGCTGGAAGCCAGATTGGTGTCTTCATGTTTAAGCTTCCCGTCCAGGGCCAGGCCCCGCTTCTCCCGGTTGTTGGCGAGAAAGGGGGTCAGCGTGTAGACTTTGCAGAACGTCGAACTCGGAGCCACCACGTCACTGAGGACAACAACATGGGAGAATGAAACTGATGTAAGTTATGGGACCAAACCAAGAGCCGCACCTCCCCATCGGGGCCCAGAGCTCCCATCTCTGTAGGAGAAAGGAAAACATCTGAAGCACAATGCAATGGCAAATCCCACTGGGGATCATGTGAATGCCTGACACCATCATGGTGGTTCCTGTTGTGGAGCTGGAAAGTGGCTTCCTCTCTGTGACACAGAGAAATCCTAATGCAAGAACTACCCGTGGGGCTCTGAACACGCCCACCTCACTCTTCACAGGACAATCTCAAAATATGGTGTTCGCTGCACATTCCTGACAACACCCGAAAGCCTAAATTCATCTATGACCCCCCATCTCTCGGGGGAACTCGGAGCAAGTTGCCAGCCAACCAAGAGAGTTCAGGCAGGAGCCATGGAACGCTCAGTGGTTTTGATTGCGTTTCACTCGGAGTTTTGAGATGTGATCAAAAGCCAGGCCGAACAAGGCTGCCATGGCCCCAAGCAGAGCAGAATCGCTCTGTTGTGTGCAGCACCGACGCTGCGTTACAACATTTGCAGCTTTCCACGGCGACGAAGAGTCATCACATATTGATGCCACCTCCCCCGGGGTGACGGAATATCACAGCGCTGAGCTGCGTCATGACATGGCGCTGCAACAGCACTATATGCATCCAGCGTTATTTAAAGGGATGTTCAAAAAATACCATTGTGGGGCCTCCCTGTTTGTTGTCTCACGGACTCCAGATCACACGTCAAGAGATATTTCTCCACCAAACTCAGCCTGGGCCCTACAAGTCAAGCTGGGGTCTTTATACACCCGCAACAATAAAGATCCTGGACTCAGAACATGGCCGACCGGAGTGAAAAGCATTAAAGCCATGGCAGGTCAGCGGGCCCAAGTTTAGAGGGGGTTAGCGGAAAAGAAATGGTACCAACATTTCCTTTTAAACAAAACCAAAAAGCAAAAGAACAGCGGATCCCTTTCCATCCCATCCCATCACTCCACTTACCCAGTCAAAGTTCTTCCTATGCCTCATAACAGGCCTTCCTCCCCAGCCCCACAGCTCTGACTCCCTAGCTAGGAGGAAGCCAGAGGATTTATAGAGGGCTTCCTGACCCAGAACCCTTTGCGCTAAAGAGAAATCCCGCCTGTCTCTCTGGTTGATTGGCAGTTTGTCTAGCCAATCAGTTCTTTCCCTCCTGGTTCCAGAGGGGCTTCACCCCATCACATAAGCCTTATTTAAGTAAGTAAACTCAGCTGCTCTGACTCTGGCGCACCCACGGGGGGCAGGGCTGTGAGTCAGAAGAGACCAGTTTTGCATAATCCTGGAGATCGGTTCTTTAATGGTCCTCGATCTTGTAGGAAGCAGACGAGAGCCATGAAAATCCGAGCTCTCCTGCTAAGCCTGGGCTCGGTGGGGAGCCCCAGCGCGGCGAGATGTGGCCTGGTCTCTGGAGACGAGCCACAGCCATGAGACCACCAAAGGAAGCGAATGGGCATACTCACTCCGCCTCTTCCACAGCCACGGGGCACTTGTACTGAGCAGTGTTGAATAGGCAGATGTCCGCGTACTGGCGCACTGGGGATGAGAGACGGACAGACAGGGAAGGCCAAGGTTAGCGTGTGCTTCAGTGCAGCAGGCGTGAGAGCACCGGCCAGCCTGTGCCGTGTTGTTGGGCAGTCAGGGACACGTGGTGGCACCACAGGCAGCGGTGGCTGGTCTCAGCACCACTTCTGGGGACAGTGAGACATAAGAGATCAACACCCTCCATCCCCACCCCCCACCCCATTCCTGGTACCGCAGCCCAGCAGTGATACAGGAGAATGGGGACAGGAATAGACACCCAGACATTTAGTCCATAATATACAGAGTTTAAGGCCAGAAGGTACTTTTAGATCCTCTAGTCTGCCCTCCTGTCTATCACACGCCATTACACTTTACCCAGTTACCTCCCTACTGAGCCCGGTATCTTGTGTTTGAGCAAAGTTAAACTTGTGTTTGGCGAAGGCACGTCTCCCAGAAAGGCAGCCAGTCTGGATCTGAACACATCAAGAGATGGAGAATCCACCAATTCCCTTGGGAGCTGGTTTCAGTGGCTAATCACCTGCACTGTTAAACATTTGAGTCTTATTTCTAATTTGAATGCGTCTGGATTCAGCCTCCAGCCTCTGGTTCTTGGTCTGCCTTCGTCAGCTAGATCAGTGGTTCTCAAACTTTTTGTATTGGCGACCCCTGTCAGACAGCAAGCCTCTTAGGGCGACCCCCCCCCTTATAAATTAAAAACAACAGTTTTTATATTTAACACTATTTTAAATGCTAAATTTATAATCCTATTGTTTAAAAAGAATTGACCTTTTCTCACCGCTTTGAAATTACGACTAAAACACATTTTTATGGAATTATCGTTATAAGCAGAAAAGTTCTCTCTTTAATAGTTACTGTTTAATACTGGGGGGGGAGGACACCTGAAGAAACTTTGTCAATATCACTTTTCACAACAGACTTAGCGCCCCATTGCCCCCCTTCCTGCTGTGCTGCTGCTGGCAGCCGCAGTGCAGAAGTAAGGGGGGCAATGGGGCACCAAGTCTGCCGTGGAATGTTATAGTTGTATGTTTGTTAATATCACTTTTCACAGCAGACTTGCTAGCGCAAACTTCACAGCAGACTTGCTAGCTAGCTGGGAGGCCGTGGAAAGTGATATTAACAAATATACAGAGATGACTTTTCACAGCAGGCTTATTAGCTAGCGGGTCTGCTGTGAAATGTGATCTTTGTATGTTTGTTAATATCGGCCCTCTCATGTTGCCTCAGTCTCATCTTTTTAGTCTCAAGACCACAAACCTGCACAACACAATACTACAGTCCTCAGAGTCCAATTTCCTTCATGTGGTGATAATACAAACATATATATTGTTGAGGAACAAGGATCCCTGCATGAGATGTTTATAATACTTTTTGAAGTAAATGCACTACATTGCAAGGGAAAGGTGTGTGTAATTTTCTAAAATGCTTTCGATTTAAATTAGATATTTTATAGCAGTTGCTCTCTGTTTCGTGCATGTACTGCCGACCCCCACGTAATAACCTCAGGGGGTTCCGACCCACAGTTTGAGAACCCCTGAGCTAGATCAAACAGCCCGTTCGCACCCATTATTTTCTCCCTATTAAAGTACTTATACCCTGTCATCAAGTCATCTCGCAACCTTCATTTTGTTAAACCAAACAAACGGAGCTCTTTTTGTCTCATCTAAAGCATTTTCTCCAGCCCTCGGATCGCTTTGTGGCTCTGCACCCTCTCCGGTTTTTCAACACCCTTTTCAAATTTGGACACCAGATCTAGACATGATATTCCAGTCCTGGTCTCACTAACGCTGTACACAGAGGTAAAATCGCTTCCCTCCTCACTACGCCCTGGTTTATACATACGAGGATCGCATTAATCCTTGTTGCTCCAGCATCGCCCCGCCTCTTCCCACCCCACCTGTGCCCTGCCCCGTTCTGCCCCCTCCCCCTGCCTCTTCCTGCCCCTGCACCTCACCCTCCCTCCCAGCACCTCCTGCACACCGTGAAACAGCTGATCACGGATAGGGTGACCAGACAGCAAGTGTGACAAATCAGGACGGGACGGGGCGGGGGGGGGGGGGGAATAGGAGCTATATAAGAAAAAGACCCAAAAATCAGGACTGTCCCTATAAAATTGGGACATCTCGTCACCCTAATCATGGAGGGCGGGAGGCACTGGGAGAGAGGGGGAGGAGCTGATCCACAGGGCCCACTGGTGGGTGGGAGGCGCTGGGGGGAGGGGGAGGAGCTGATCTGCAGGGCTACCAGTGGGTACTGAGCACCCGCTATTTTTTTCTGTGGGTGCTCAGACCCACGGCTGTCCCGGGTCAGTTGACTCAGCTGTGGGGCTGTAACACTGAAGTGGAGATATTTGGGCTCGGGCTGGCGCCTGGGTTCTGAGACTCCATGTGGCGGGGGGAGGGTCTCAGAACCTGGACTCCAGCCTGAGCATCGACACTGCAATTTTACACGCCCCCCCCCCCCGCCCCCCCCAGCCCCAGCCCGAGCCAGCTGTTCTGGGCGCTGAGTGTGTCCAGGCCCTGGATGTTGCTCCTCAGTCCTTACTGGCGTTGGCCATTCCGCCCCATTTACGGGCCCATGGGAACAAGAAGAGCACCCCGACCTCACTCATCAGCCACAGCTCTCAGGTGTCTTCCCCCTACATGCCCCTCCTCCATTGCTGAGCAGGGTGATGGGCTCATCTCGCCTTTCCAGCCCCCTTTCCTTGCTAGCCTGCGGCTGCATCTTTCTGTAATCGTCTGGCTCAAGGGCCCCCTGGGAAAACACCTCTGTCAGCACCGTATGGTCCAGCTGGTCCCTGGAGTGGGAGGAACGTCCTTTCCTGTGCTCTGGGAATGCAGCGCTGGTGGAAGGGGCTGGGGTGATAGTCCTGAGGACCAAAGTGCTCCATGTATTGAGAGCGATGGTCCCTTGGAGTCCAGGCTGGGCCTCCGAGGGGTGAAGTGACTCAGCCCTGGGCCACCCAGGGTGTCTGTGACACAGCTGGGAATAGAGGCGGTCTCGGCTCCCTGGCCCACCACTGCTCTCAGCCCTGTGAGGTCACCCAGCCAGACTCTGCACAACTGGATGCTCCCAGAGCATGCCAGGGGAGTCGGGTGGGAGCAGATCTCGGGGGGTGCAGGAAAAGAGCCAGCCAGGGGGCGAGGCAGGTTGGGAGAAGATGTCTGGGGATGGATAAGGGAGGAAGGGCTCCATCAGGTGTTGGATGGGGGAGGGGATACTGGACGTCGGGCAGTTGAGGGTGTGGGAAGGGGATTCAGCATGTGGGGGAGGGTCAGGGCAGCTGCTGGGGGTCAGGGAAGGCTGGGGAGAGGGTTTAAAGGGACTCCAATGGAAGGAGGGGGTGGCCCAGCTGCGATAGCCTGTGACGGTCCCCTCCTGCCATTGTGCACGGCTGATACAGGGAACGCGGGCGCCCCCTTTACCTGAGATTTTAATCTTCTTCACCGTCTTGTTTGTGTTGTTTGTCACATGGACGTTGACGTTGATTGGCTCGCCATGGTAGTAAATCTGCAGGAACAAGGGCCCCGGCCTGTGTCAGCGGGAGGCAGGTGCGAGGGGGCTTCCTGCCTGTGCAGGTCAGGGCACCCTCCCCCAATCAGGGGTTGGATCGGGGTGGGGGTACCCTCACATCAATGTTTATTAACAATGCACAGAAGGTCTCCCCCCCGGTGAGAGCTGTGCGGGGATCAAACAGCTGGGATCTCTGCCAACCCTTTGCAGTGTCAGTTCACCAGATCCCCAGCCCAGGGCTGCACTCGGCGCTGAGTTAAGTGGTGGGGCTGGAGGCCGGCCATGGCGTGGAACCCGTTTGCACCTGCTGTGAATTTGGGCACCAGGATATTTCCCGGGGATTTCCCTTGGGACCTGCTCCTCGCTCTACGGGCTCAGGGCAGCCATTAGGCACCGGCGTGAGGGCCCCACACTGCAGAGAGACACAGCAGCCCCAGGGAGAAGTGGGGTGTGTCGTACCTCCTTGTCCAGGGACGCCTCCAGATGCAGTGGCTTGTCGGACATCAGGAACTGCCTGGTGGTCTCCGCCATAGGGCTGGGGGCCCGGTCTCTCCGGCGCGTACTGCACTTTGCGGATCACCAGGCGCACGGAATTCCTGCCGGCACATGTGGGGGCAGAGGCTGAGCCCGAGCCGGCGGGGATCTGCCCCGGGGTGCCAGCAGGCTTCCCTGGCACCCCAAACTCAGACAGACCAATTAACCCTGCCATCCCCCCTCGGGGGTGGGGGGCGTTTTAACCACCTCTTCCTGTGACCCAGAGCCAGGGGTGGGATCAGAATGACGCGGGACCTGATCCAGTCCTGCCATGGCACCAACAAATCAAAGGGGCCTCCCCATCTCCCTCGCCTGCTCCCCTTTTTCCTGGTAGCGCCTCAGGGCTCCACGAGCCCCTTCCCAGCCCAGGCCAGCTCCTTGGATCCTGCCTTTAGCCAGCCGCAGGGAGAGAGGTGAAGTGACTTTTTAGAGGCAGCGCTAAGGACAGGACCCTGGCTCCCACACTCAGCTCTAACCACTAGGTGACTCAGTCACTTGACTTGTCTCAGGTCAAATCCCCGCGTCAGTCACGCTCCACTGTCATAGCACGTCAGGACGCTTGCTCGGGGCGAATGAAATACAAGGTTCCCTGTCACTTCCTGACAGGACAGGCCCAGAAACACCAAGACGGTCCCATCGAAAAGGGCCAGCAAGAACTCCCCCGTTGTAGGCTCAGGTAAGCCAGGCTGGAGCCTCCGAGGTATCCGTGCGAGTCACTCCGCCTTTGACCACAAGATGGTGCACCTGGTTTGCTCACCAAGGGCCAACCCTGTGTGGAGTCAGCGAATGCACCGTTTCCTTCCCGCTGTCAAGCACATTGTCAGGGGGCTGGAAACCCCCAGGAGCCAGGTTGAGCGTTGGCTCTAGTGAGACTCAGTTCATCCAGACTTCCCCTGGACCTGTCACAGCAGCTAACCTTGACCCAACCTCACCGACAGCCAGTCATAGTGAGCCCCACACACAAAGTGTCATAGACCCACACATGCGGGGGGATGAAACAGTGGGGTGGGAGAGGAAGGGGCCTGTGTCTTTGCTCTTCACACATTAACAGCTGGCCTGGAAGGTTTTGATTTTTATATGTCGATTTCACTGTAAACACGCAAACGAACGCAAAACGATTTCCAGGCGGCAATAATCAAAACCTACAGCTAGGCAAAGGAAGAAAAGGCCGCTGGAGACACGCTTTGGGTTTTAATGTGCCTAAAGCCTGAACGTTTTGGAATCTCCGCATCGCTTGGCGTTACATAACTATTGTCGGATCCCCCAGAATTCCCTGTTACTGTGAGAATTTAAATAGAGCAAAATCGGGAAAAATGCTTGGAAAGAAACACCAGTAATATCCATCCAAATGAGAAAAAATGAAAAATCGAATTCTGCCAAGCCTAATTAAGAGCATGAGGAAAGCACAGGGGCACCGCGGGCTTTCAGCTCAGCCTGTTAATGAACGTACAAACACCCACACTAGCTACCTCGCCATTGGCTCTGGCGGCCCAGTAGAGGGCGCTCAAAAATTTTAAAGGGTTAGTACCCAATTCCTATGCACTACAGTGGGGTTGGCCCCCACTACTACTGACACACGTGCCACAAGTGCTAACCCATCCCCCACCCCTCCCTGGGTAACCGGCTTCCTTGGTCTGGTCATTTACCCTCTTGGTACCTCAGTTTCCCCTGTATAACAAGGAGGATAATACTGATCTGTCTGGCAGCGTAGCCATGCCACAAGTGGGGACCAGAGCCTAGAACCTCCGGAGAGGGAGGCCTGGACAGTTACTACCTGAGCTTAATGACTCTGTGACACGGGGGGGCTGTGAACCCAG